TTACTGTAAAACTCGAAAATCCTATTTTAGGTTTTGCACGCTTTTTAAAGCGCCGCGACGAGAATTTAGTGGAATTTTCAACGTTAACGGAATTCAACGAAATTAATTTTAGAAAATCCTACGCGAAATTTTGATCGTTTTGGTATATAGAACTTATACTCGATTTTGAGTAATTTTGGAGTTATTATTTTTAGAAGTCTAAAAATACCAAAACTACCCTTCTCTATTCCTTGTACCGAAACTTCTTAAGTGAGGGCATAATTGACTTTTGGCAAACCCCCCCTTTCTCTCTATTATAGCAAAACCGGTCCCCTCACCTCCCCATTCACGTGAAATTAAGCGGGCCGAACGGGAGAGGCGAGCGAACAAAGGGCGGACCGAACGGCTTCGGCGAGGGTTGCTCCGGCGGCGTTTTTCCGGCGAGAAAATTAGTTCGAAACGAAGAGGACGACGAGAGAAACACTCCGGTATGATTATTTTCAAGCAAAGTTTTCTAAATCTCTAGATATTTGAGAATGAAATTTCTAGGGTTTTATAGGATTTTGGTTTTCTTTCTTAATTTCTTTACGAAAATTTTAAGGAAGGATTAGAAGATTATTTCAACAATGAAAATGAAGGAATTTGAGAAATTTTTGGAAGATTTAGAAAGTAGGGTTTTTGACCTAAAACCTTAATTTTGTAAGACACCTTTATGAAAATGATTCCTAAGGGTTTAGGAAATATTTTTAAAGAATAATTTTATGTTTTTAACGAAAATTTCATTTTCTTAATTATTTTGATTATTTTAATCCGAAAATTTTTATATAATTATTAATATATGTTAAGGACCAATTTTGAAACTATGATTTGATGAAATTGAAAGTTTAGAAATTCTGAATAATTTAACCCTATAAGATTTATTAGATTGCATTTGCATGTTGATCCGGAAGTATCAAACTAATGGTAATGGGGCTTTCAAAAGCCAAATGGTAATGGGGCTTGTATAAGCCAAATGGTAATGGGGTTCTTCGGAGCCAAATGGTAAAGGAAATGGCCAAAACTTTTGACTGCGTACCTGATCAGTACGAAAACTGGTACTTCCGGGACGGGTGAATATTTTATGATTAAAGTATTTGATGCATATAAATGAAAGGATTTGATGAAAAGAAATGTTAATGAAAGAAAAAGTTAAGATGAATGAAAATGCTAAAGGAAATATTTAAGGAAAACTCATGTATGAAAATGTTATTAAATTTATGCTTATCAATAGTTGATTCTATTTTTTAAAAGAAATGAATGTTTTATTTTTATTTAAGTCATGAATTTGAATTGAATACATGTTTCCTACTGAGCTTTGTCTCATTCCTCGTTTGGAAATCTTTTTCAGGAGAGAAGTAATGGCTGCTCGACGACCTTATATGTATCGTCGTAGGGGACCTCAAGATGAAAAGTTCCTTGTTGTGTTTTCAGTATGAGTCTTTATATTGGTTTTAATGTAGTTCGTGAATTTGAGGTTTATGTAATTTTGAAAGTTTATGTTATGATGATGAATTAGAAAGTTTTATTGGTTATGAGTCAAGTTGATTAGTTTATAACATTTGAGTTTGAAGTTTATTAGTGGCTATTTCATGTATTTGGGATGATATTTATGTTCTAATCTTAAGTTTTAAATGAAAATATGTTATGTATTATGCTCTTCCGTACGATCGTCTGTTCCCGCCCCGATATAATCGGGCTAGCCGGGCCGGGTCGTGACAGTTACCCTCCAACACAGTCTCTGATAGTCGCTCCACCCGACTGGCCAAGTGCTCAAATCTCTCTCGGCAATCTGTCACTGATCCGTCCTGTACTAGTGCAAAGAACTGCTCATAAAGTCCCCTCCCCTGCCAGTTCGGAAAATGTTCCAATAAGTATTCTTTGAATTACCTCCAACTCCGTATGAGTCTCCTCTGATCCCTCCATTGATACCAAAAAAACGCCTTCCCCTCCAAACATAACCCTGCTGCTATCAACTTTTCCTCTGTCATCCCATTGACGGTGAAATATCTTTCCACCTTGTAGATCCACCCATGTGCGTCTTTCCCTTCAAAGAGGGGGTTTTTTTAGCTTCCTCACCTTCGGATCTCTCACGTTTCTCCGTATTTCTCCATAATTTCTCCTTTCCTAAGTGCTTGGTTCTCCTCAAATCTCCCGATCTTCTCTTCCCCGCTCATACCCAAACCCATCTTCACTTTCTCCTCTCCTCCCTTCAAAATCAACACCCCTCCTACCATAATCTCCATTTTTTCTTTCTCAACCAGCACCCCTTGATTCACACCACTCCTCTCTCCATACCTTCCACCTCGCTCCTCCATAATTTCCACCTTAATATTGTCATTCCTACGGAATTCAGAATATGTGGTTCTCCCCGCCAATCCTTTTGCCTCTGATGCCGCCATTTGAATTTGATTTTCCAATATCTTCTTCACCATCTAATGAAGATTGGAAACCTTATCTTCCACAGAAGAAACCTTGTCTTTTACGGATGAAATTCTATCTTCCATCATTGCTTTTATTTCGCTCATCTCTCCTTCAATGCGTTCCTCCAACGCATCTACCTTCTTGGCCGCCATCAATACTCAAAATTTTTTGAATTGAATCAACTCAACTTCATAAATCAATTTTGACTTAGACATGATTCTATTTAATTACATTTAACGATATGCATGTTGCCTATAGTATTCATGGAAGTCCCACCGGGCATTTTCCTTTGGCATTTGAGAAGAAGAAAAATCTCAATAGAACTGCATCATAAGCAAAGCCGATGAGTTCAATATCCATGATTTTGCTTAGATTGCGAGAAACCATTCTATCTGATGCAACATGAATCATGTTTTGGATATTTAGCTTCATGTCCTTGAATTTTTCAAGCCAACGACAAAGATCACTACCATATCAACTACATAGATGGTGAAGGAGTTTGCAATTTTGGTGACAATATGCGTAGCCATAACTTTGTTAGAGCTAGCCTTAGTAACTACTTCTAGGTAATTAATGGTGTCTTTAAAGAACCAAAGACTTATGAAATTAATTGGTTGTATGAATGACAACACGCAACGAGTTGCCCATGTCGACTTGTTTTAGTTGTTAACTTAAAATGGAGCAATGATCTAGTAATGGTGGATGTTAGTGGAATTCCGCCAAGCTAAGTTTTATTTTAAAGCTAAATATATAAACAAGATCAACATAAATGTGAACGCCAAGAAATGATCGTCAGTCAAGATCGTGCCATTTGGACTGTGGGAGGAGACCATGTCAGAAGCAAAGGGAAGGGAGACAAAGAGGAAGAGTCTTCAATAAGAGAAATTTCCTGAAGGATAGTGCCACAAAAGGAGATCCATGTCAGATCGTTTCTTGGTAGTGAACCTAGCAACTTATATGTTGACATTTTTGTGCTTGAAGAGGGGAGAAGAGTAAATCGAAAATTTATATGGTTCGGCTTTGCAATCTACACCCACAATGTAAAAAGAGAGATGATCTTACTATAAAGGAAAAATATATATAATACAAGTGAAATCAACCGTGTTTTGCCAGCTTTAGCTTATGGTATAAGTCTTCTGGTGCACCCTCCTGTAAAGGAGTAAAAAAAAATTAGTCGACGCGGAAAGTGTTTAGAAGCTTAAGAGATACGTGGATGATGTGCCTTAAAAAGGTGCTAAGGAGATTGTTATAGGATGATGAGGGATTAATAAGTCAACAAGGCACATCTGAGAAGTGATGCAATCAAAAACCAAGGGGGCTTCTTTCTGAATAGAATTAATGGAACATGCCAAGTAGAGATGTGTCAGTATCTTGGACGATGATATCAAGGTCGATAGTTGCAGATCTAAGATGGGAGTCAACAGCAGACTATAAGACCCACAAGGCCGAAGAAACAATGGGTCTTACTCGCCTCATTGGGTGAATGACCCAATGAATATGACTTGTCAGATGAGCCGACAAGTCCAATCAACATTCAAGAAGAGTTGAGCGACTGTCTCTCGCTCTCTCGAGGAATTCTGTAGGGGAATTCCTTGGTTGTCATTGTTGAAGTCATTGAATGGAGTAAATGTTGGGTCGGTTTAGTAACAGCTTGTAATCTGGTCCTGATCAACAAGCAGTAAGGTTGTCGTCAGCTTTAGATTTGTCAATCAGATCTAACAAGATGGCAACTTAACACCAAGAAACCACTTTCAGTATCTTTTAATTGCACCTGGCAGCCACATGCATACTCCTAATTTGGTGTGAAAAGCTAGGCTTTACACTCCCTTCTCTCTCCAATCCCTTCACTAACTGCATATCTCAATCTCTGTATGTCATTCTTCCTTTCTCACTCTCTATCTCTTCTCTTCCTTCTCTCATCACAGGGGACAAACACTCACTAGAACTCCTTGCCAACACCTCCCTCAGTCTTTTGCACTATAGCCTTTTCATACCTTCTTCCATCTCCTGAGTCGAGAAGTATCTTTGGATTAAAGGCTCGTAGTCCTTCTTGGTGCCACGCAGCACCATCTCGATGATGAACAAGTTTTCACCATTCACATCTAAAAGCAGATTTTTGTATAATCATGTTATCAGAACCATGTCGAATACATTAGTTTACATGGAAATTTAAACATCTATTAGTCCTTAATTAATTATAAATGAGATGAATCTAGTTTGAAGCTTTCTAAAACTATAGCTTACACATATATAAGCAAGGACAATCATCATGTTGCCTGATTCATAATGGTGAATAGACTACACAAAAACAAAGTGTTGCCCAAACCTGAAATTTTTTTATGTGCACGCCTATTAGTAAGATGAAAACTCAGGAATATTACCTTTTTGGAGAATACTAGTTTTATGAACATGTTTAACACTTAACAGCAATAATCAAAAACATGAAGTGGATAAATGCACTCTATACAGACACCAGACAACAAATGCAAACTTTTTGGTGCAATAAAACAATTTCACAAAAATGATTAAGAATGATTAAGTGATGGAAGAAAAGACACTACCCTGGTGAGTTCTCTAGTGAAGATCTCTGAAACTTCAACAGTCATACCAACAGGAACAACACTAGGATCATCCCACTGAAACAAGAGTTACTTAATCAGCAGGAAAATCAAATCTTGTGTTAATAAAAAAACTCTAGAGCTTTTAGAAACAGAAATTGCAAAGGAAACAAAAACAATACCTTATATTTGAGGAGCTCACCATCAGCATTATCTGGCCGATCCATCATTCCAACTCGCCGTACTAAGGAGGTAAGGCCCAATCTTGAATTTCTAGGACTAATGACCATCTCCCTAGCAATCTGTAATCAAGAAATGCAAAAAAATATAATAAATAAGCAGGCAACAAAACATTAAAGTTCAACCAACATCATAGAGAAAATTTTCTTGAGATATCACTAATGTTTGTCATTTATTGGTATAGGATTGCATGTACCCTAAATGAACATATGTATAAAAAGATGCACTTGATCCATGCTGGCATATGAAAAACAACTGAGCGGAGGTTTAACATCCACTGTACGGATTCATGTGCCATCAACACGCATCTGAAGGTTAGGAACATATTGCATCTTTGTAAAACTAGAAAAAATATCAAATCGTAATCATCACAAGCATTTTGATGCACCGCGACGAAATTAGGCGAATTTTCGAAGTCATCGGATTTTGAAAAAATTAATTTTATAAAACTTTACATTTAAGTTCGATGAATTTGATATAAAGAACATATAGTAAATTCTACACGGTTTGGGAGAAACAAATCGCCGAAATTCACTAATGTAAGAATTACATAATAGCCCTCCTAGTCTTCTTAGAACAAATGTAAGTAGAGGGGTAATTATATCATTTGGGCTCCCCAACCGCCCAAATCTTCTCAAAGGGACCGAAAGCCTTTAGTCCCCTTTCATTTTCAGTTTGCTTCGTTTGGCCGAACGTAAGGGAGGCGGACAAGGAGGCGACGCGAAGCTTTTTGGGCAGCGACATTGGTGGTTTTCCGGCGGCGGTTCTTAGAGGGAATCGAAGGGAGAGCCTTGGGAAGGAAGAAGGTGAGTTCCTAATAGAGAATCTCCTTGGTTTCCCTTAGATTTCTTTGATGAAAATTTTAGGTTTTATGAAAACTTCAAATTTTAAAGGGAGAATGTTAGGGAGTGATTAAAGATGCTTCCTAACCACCAAAATTAAGTTTTCCCCAAACTTTTCTTAGAGTTTGAAAATTAGGGTTTTTCCAATTTTTTCAATTTTTATGAAATTTCATTAACAAGTATTATTCTAAATCATATTAGGAAGATTTTTAATGGTAGAAATTATGATTTAAGAATTCGGAAAATATAAAACCCTAATTATTAAATAGATAATTGAGAAGTTTTGGCATGCAATTGTATTGGAATTTGTGAAATTTAAGTAAATTCGAAAATTTAGTTAATTTTAATTTAAATTAGGAACTGGTGAGGGTTTAAATTGAATAAATTATGGATTTAAATAAATACTGAATGTTTAAAATTTTAAGGATTTATTAAATCCGAAAATGAAAATTTAATTATTTATTTAATGAAAATGTAAAATTTATCATGTTAAGGAGTTAGCATTAATGTTTTGCATTTACACTTAAATTTAGGCGTTGGTTATAAAGGAACGCCACAAGCATAAGCGGCGTCGTAGATGTTTACTTAGCTTTTTGAGGTAGTTATTCATATCTCTTTTAATTTCATAAGTTTTCTCTTCAAATATTAAAAAATTGCATATGCTTTAATATTTATTTTTCAGTTGAAATTTACATGTTATTTATTTACAATTCATACTGTAGCAAATGATGATAGCTATTGTGGCATGTATTTTCTTTTAAATTTATTTAACTGTAACCTGTAAAACTTCATGAAAAACAATAGAATACATAGGAGCATTCATGAAAACAATACATTAGACAAAAGCATATGATTGGATGCATGTTATTTTCCCTATGATAAATAATGCATGATTGAATGTGTATGATGCTCCGGAGTACCAAATGATAAAGGGCTCCTCGGAGCAAATGGTAAAGGGCTCTCTGGAGCAAATGGTAAAGGACTCTTTGGAGTAAACAAATGAAATGATTGGCCAAATTTTAATGTGTATCTGATCAGTACAAAAATATTGGTACTTCCGGGATGGATATATAAATCTATGAATAAGTATTATATGTTTTTATGCATATAAGAATAATAAAGGAAAAGTTAATCAAAAATGAAAAATGAAAAAGTTATGGTTGTATGTTATGATTAAAGAAAAACGGATATTCAAAATGATATATGGAATATGCAATACTTACGACTAATTCTTGACATTATAGTACTTTTTCTCAAAGTTATTTTAAGTCTTGACATATGAAAATTTTATTGCATAATGTTTCTTATTTCATTGTTTTATGAATTTAATAGAGATATTTATTACCTGCTGAGCGTTATCTCATCCCTGTTTGTTGGAATATTTTTCAGGAGAACCTATTAAACACTAATGGCTGACAGACCTATTACATATCAGCGTAGAGTAGTGCAAAGAAACAAGTTCTTATGGTTGTGTTATGTCATGTGTTAGTCGGTGTTGTAGACTACTATAGTAGTTTTGTTTTATGTTTATTAGAGATTGTTTGTTTTGATGTAATAGTGATGCTTGAAGTGGAAGTTCAATGGCTCTTTCCTATTTTGTAATTGGATGATTATTTTGTTTATGTTATTTGTGAATTGAAAATTTTAAGTGTTTTCCGTACGACCGCTATTCCCACCTCGTTAAATTGAGCTTACTGGGCCGGGTCGTGACAATCTTTGTGGACTTCTAATAGGTAGCTTAAAATTTCAAATGCAATTGTCACTTTGTTCCCCATACAAGTATTTGTGAAACAATGCCAAAACCATGATAATGGAGCTGAAGGCATGAATGGCGAAGGATCCAAAAAAACTGAAAACCTATTAACTTGGACGTGTTGTGAATAAGCTAAACTCGAATAGATCAGATCAAGTTAATGCCCATGATGATGAAGATTTCACTCAGAAGCTTCTTTTACTATTCTCCACTGTTTTAAAATATTTGAGAAAAGCATGCATTGGTTATAAAATGTATATCTAAGATCTATAAGCACATGCGAATCAAAAAATATATGCATCATTCTTTTCAAAAAAAAAATCTACTTTCTATGAAATGAATACAAGAATTCAATGATCAATTCTGAAAAAATATTCATTCTGTTCGAACCACTTAAACCAAATAGTTGCATTGGCTTCTTCAAAACAAACCTTTAACTCAATTATAATGATTATGTAGAGCTTTGAGGGGGATTAAGGGTTACAATTTAACTCTAGAATCTCCTTTTATTATTTTTTGAAAAGCTCCGGGAAACACTTTCTCATTAATTAAAATAAATAAAAAAGGATAAAAAAGCATAGTTATAGGATAAAAGTAAGCAAATATACATTTAAAGAAATTAAAATTGAACAGCAACTTTAAAGTTTCTAGATACTTGTCTGAAAAGTTTAAAGCTGTCCTTTTGTCTGAGATTAGATACACTTTGTAGTCATGACTAGAATACATCCAAAACTAAGCATGAGATAAGGTAATGAACCAGATTATTTTGTATTATCCTTGATAGTATTTGGAAAGCATTGGATATTCATTTCAATCTAAAATGCTCAAAAGAGACGAGCACAAAGATTTCCCAAACATGTTTAGCATAGTCTTTGATAAAAAAATCTCTCAATGAATAAAAGGTAGAGTTGAAGGGAACAGAAGTAATTGGGACACCAGAAAGAGAGAAGACACTTCCAAACAATGAAAGAGTATCTAGTTTATTAGCGATCTCTCCATGGCAATAGCATCGCTTGTAAACAAGTGGGTCATTAGTTATATATTAAACTTAGAACATATTACGTTTCATATCTTTATAAATTGATAATCTTTAATTTTCATCACGGCATTCATTCACTAATACTTAGATCCTCATGATTCATTAATCCATTATGATGGAACATATTATGTTCATCATGTTTGTTATGATCAATAATATCATTAACATAATTCTGTCATAAATCATCTATAGGAGAAATGCTGTGTATCTATTCAAGCAGGAAGGCCAAAGGGTTGAAGATAATATCAAGGAAGTTATCAAATGAAAAGGTTTACATATCATCTAAGAATTATTCACATTAAATGCCCAAAGGACCTTCGAACGGAAAGCTCATCAATTTTTTTTTTGAATGAGAACAAATAAATGTATTCTAAAAGGTTGAATAGGTCTAACAAGAATTTACATGGAAAAATATAATTGGCTAGTCCATGAAATCAAAAAATCAAACACAAAAACATTACATAACTGAAGTACAATGGCATTTTAGTCTTAAGCTATTTAAAACGAGCAATTTAATCCATCAACTCGTCAAATATGATTCAACATAGTTCCATAATTAGAATTACAGTTTAATTTGATGGGAATTTCACAAAAAATTCACGAATTATGTAGGTAATGAGGATATTTTGGAGAAATGAAGTTCTCATATAACTTGATTGCGTGCACCCAAATTCATGAACTTTATGAGAATTTTCTGCCAACTTAAGTAGCACTTCTAACTTGGGAATGTGACCAAAACGACCACTCATAAATAATCTGACTATTTTGGCCGTTTCCTCTAAAATTAAAATTTCTCCATTCTAAAAAACAGGATATTTTAAACATATTTGCCAAGAATTGGAATGAAAGAAATAATGATATTAACATATACTATAGAATATAATCAACTAACAGAAAGGCAGGTCAAATGCATGTTTGAAACTACAGCGAACTCAAAACATAGGTAACAAAGGAAACTGCCAACAAGTAACAGAAAGATCTTACTTTTGTAATCTTTTCCAGATCATCTCTTCCTCCATCAGTAATGTCATTTCCAAACACAAGTCTTTCAGCACAACGACCTCCATGTGCAACCACCATTTGCATTTTCAAGTAACCAAAGGTAGTATAACCTTGATCCACCATTTCTTCTCTAGGATAAAAAACTGATATTGCAGTTTCCTGCACTACTAGTGCTTGCATTAGAGGCAATTTCGATAATATTATTTGGAAAGGAAAGAGAGAATAAATAAAAATCAAAGTTGATTCTAGAAACAACGTGCAGAACAAAGTGTAAAATAAGAGCACAAGGTTGAACCTTGCCACCAGGAAGTAGTTGCGAGAACGCATGCCAATCAAAACGGGGGAAAAGATGAGCTAACAATATGTGACCAGCCTCATGCACAGCTAATAATCTTTTAGTATCGAGTGATACCTAACATGAATATTATAAAAACACAGAAAAACCATTAAAATAGAAAAGGCCACAGATGTATATCCCTACTAATTTACAAAGACGAGAAAACATACACTAGCTTCACATTTTTGTTGCTCTTCCTCTGTAAGGAGCACCCCCATGCCCTCCAGTAACTGTTTATCGAGGACATCAACTATGTCTTGCTGGGTGATCAAAGAGTGACTCTTCCTTACCTGGTATTCATTTTCAATTGTTCAAGAGCCAACCAAGAACTAGTAAACAATCATTACAACATAAGCAGCCGACACAATTCCATATCTAGTGGAAAAATACATAGACAAAGGACAAGAATCAAAGACACAAGCAAAGCCTCCAAAATAAGAAAACAAAATTAATACATTCTAAATTTTTAAACAAATCATGTGAATGCTTCAACAAGCCAAATTTATAAATAGGTAAAATATACTGCGTACAGAAAATATTAATGTAACTTGAAAAATTATAAGGTGATTTACATACATCCCACCAAATTTCTTACTATTTATATATGTAACAGCAAAATGTTTCTAGTTACACCCATAACCTCCAATCTTCTAAAGGCCACAAAGATACTAGTTTGCCACCGGCCACCCTATCATTACGGTGATTTATGCTGGTAGGTTTTTAGCCTAGCCAACAACTCGAAATTCTTCATCTCCCTGAACCTTCTTAATTAATGGTTAAAGCAGGTAGAGCATTGCTCACAGGAGTTCTAGGTGTAGCAAATAGTGTCCAAGTGAAAAATCAAATTTATGGGTTTGATACTTCGGCAATCAATTTATCAAAAACAAAAACAAAAGAATACAATAACCAAGGAGGTTGCTAAACAAATTTTACATACAATGCCATTCAGTCAAAAAAAAAAATGAACTACCACGACACAGTATGGAGATCCCTAATCAGGGAGGAGAGTATTGTGAAAGTGATGTAGGACTACATGAACATGTGATGCTTTTAATTTGAAAATTACACGCTAAGGATGAGCAATAACAATTATTCAACTTTTTTTGATTTAAACAAAAAGATTGAAAACAAAAGGCAATGATAAAGGTCAAGATAATGTTAGGAGCGCAAAATAACAAATCAAATCAAGTTTTGCTTAACGTGGGGCATCAAAAGAAATCCCTTGATTAACAATTAAATTAGTCACTATTAAGATCTCTCACTCATGCTCATAATAAAAGGTTAGGCGGAGAAGCCTTCACAACTCAAATGAGAATCACTTGTATTCTTAAAAATAAGAATCAACCCACTCTTTCTCCACTCATCTTAACATATTTTTAGTTGGTTGAAGCACATGCAAGAGATTAATTTGACAACTAAATTTTAAAATTAGCTCATTTTTAACCATGCACAGTCTTTTGAGATTTTTCTATTTGAGTGTTCAACATGTTTGTCGAAACACATGCGAGTAAATAATTTAAAAATATATAATTTTAAATTAGTTTGCTTTTAATCCCATGCAACAATCTTAGACATTTGTATTTCAAGATTACCAAATTGGTAGGAGCGCATGCTGGAAATTTAAATTTCTTTTCAGTGATATATACATTGTTCGATGCACTTACACGCTTTTAGGTGCACTTGCACGGTGCATGCGCATAATTTCAATGTATTGGGATGATTTTCGGTGCAATCATGCGATGCACTTCCACGCATTTTGGTGCATTTGCACAGCAAATTTGCACACTTTCACTTTGCTTGCATGTTTTTCAATTTGCTCATATGACGCACCTGCACATATTTTGGTACATTCGTATAACTTGTTTGCATGATTTCAATTTGTTTTAAAATAATAGTGCATTCTTCGATGAAGCTACATGTTTTTCGAGAATTACATGCTTTATGTGCCTCGACATGCTTCTCAAAGCAGTGGCCCATTTTTTGAGGTTGTGGCATGTCTCTTAAGGAATTTCATGCTTCTCAGGACTGACACATGTTGGTGGCAGTGTTAATCGCAAGTGCCCTATAAGTCTTTTTTATTTTTCAAATTTTTTTTTATTTTACTATTTATTTTAAGAGATTATTATTTTTAAATCTATTTTCCTACATTTTGTTCAAGTTTTGGCAGCCTCCTAGCATCTCCTCGACATTGAGGGGGCATCATCAAGAGGCCTTCTCACCATGTTTAAAAAAACGTGCATAGCTAGTGTCATTAGACACTTCGGTTTAGGGTATACCATCTCACCGTACTTAAAAAACATGCATAGGTCTTCGATACATGCACGAGCGAAAAGCGAATTTCCCTGCCACATTGGAATAACACGAACATGGCCTTTTTTTAGTATATTTAAATGAGAATTTGACTTTTTAACACGAAACAATGGAGAAAAAGGATTCATGTAGTCGAGCCCACGTAGTGGAATAAAAGACTTGTTGTTGTTTGTTGGAATAACACGAATGGGTAATTAGGCAAGTAACTTTTTTCCATTGCGTTGGAATAACGCGAACAGGTACTTAATTTTTAGATTTTAAAATTATATCTTATCCGCAAGGCAAGTGACAAGATGCAACAATGACGACGATAGCGCAGGGACGAAAGCACCCAAAAAAATGTATATAATTTGTTCTTTTTATTATTTTTCCTCTTTTTTTTCTAGAATTCCCTTTTTTATTTTGGTTCTCTATTTTAGGGATGGAGGGAGAGAAAGAGCTAATCTCTCTTTCAATTTAGAAAAAGAGATTACTCTATTTCGAAAGAGGAGATCTCCCTATTAGATAAAGAAAGAAGAAGGAAAGAAGGTGAGGTGGAGATTGATTAAAGAGGGAAAGATTACCGATGATGGAGACGATGGAAGCTGTAGGTAAAGGGAGTATGTGAAGTTGCAGCTTATTTGTGAAGTGGGAAGGCGAGTTGGTTTGGAGTTGTTGTTGGAGGCTGGAGTGAGGAAGGCTTATTGTTTGGGTCAATGGCTTGGGAAAAGGCAGCGATGATAGCTAGGTGGTTGGCTGGCTATGTGAGGGTGTTGAGGCGACTCCAATGAAGAAGAGGTGGTTGGTGCATTGTAAGGTAGTTGGAGGTGTACAGATGCAGCGACTATGAAAATAGTTAGGTAAATTATGAGAGGAATAAGCTAGGATTGGGAAGCAAGTGGTTCTGTACCTAATTAGTGGTGGTCTGAGGCTAGAGTGCAAATGGTCGGGTATGGGCGCAGCGAAGGAGTGGAGCCGCCAGTGAAGTCTTTGAACAGGGAGTGTAGGCATCGGGAAGAGAAGAGTGGTAGGGGAGTTGTGTGAATAGGAAAGAGGGGTTTTGGTTAAGCAGGTTGTTCTGTACGAAGGAGAGAGGGGCGGAGATAGTGAGTGATGCAATCAAAAATTTGGGATAGGGACCCAAATTTTTTATCACAAAAAACTAGACCTTACTAGGAACAAAATAAAGACATAAAATACTCAAAAGACACTTTTTATATCATATAAAGAAAAGACTTACAAACTTGACTTTCAACATAAGATGACATTACAACCCTTGACTCTTACAAATGACTCTTACAAATGACACCTAAAGTTGCTTTCCAAGAGAAGAAGGATACAATGGGGTGGTCACTTGCGGAGAGACGAAAAAGATTAGAAGCCCGAGAAGAAAGAGGAGAAGCTCGCAAGCTTTCCTAGACAAGGAGAGGAAGAAGTGGCATAGCTCGCAAGCTATCCAAGAAAACCCTCAGGTTTCTTTCCAAAAATCATTCATATAACCATAACTCTCTAAAACAGCCACAAACAACATTATTTATAGGCACAAAAAAGGAATACAAACAGCCAATATAACCCCTAATTAAATCAATTAAAAGGGGTAAATGAAAAGACAAAATTCAGTCCAGATTTCTGTACAGGAAACTGTCCAGAAATCTGTCCCAAAACAGCCCAAAAAACCAAAGAAAAGGAATGCCAAAAGCCACAAGCTTTTCCTTGCTGAAATCCCAAGAGTCAC